TAGTTAGCGCCGAGATTGGACTTCACATCAGCGCCCTGCGATCCGCATAACATTCGAACGCCCAAAATGTCCAAAACTATGGAATCGACACTATATGATAGTTAAGGTTTTTTGGAAGGGAGGATCAGTATAACCCGCATGTGCCACCGAGAGCCTGTCTGCCTGGCGCCTGACGGCGTACTGGAGACTCCGGCGGCATCAAGGTCACTGGTCGTACGGCTGATTGGTTGGTGCGTCTAGCAACCAATCACCTGACCCAAAACATTCGAATAGATCTGTATTCGTCCACCTGCCATTAATGTTGCTGACATGAGACCTACGAAAGTAACATGTGGAGGAGACGCGTGTTACTTTGCGGCCAACGGTTTGAGTCGGTCGCGGGGTACACGGTAGTGTATTTGTCTCACGTTAAGGTAGAGCAGTAAAAGTTGTTCTGAAGGCTCGTCTTCCCGTTTGAGGTCAAGGCATAAGTGGGATCTACAAGTCTCCCCTACCATCGCTTTTAGCCATCTGTAAATTCGTGTGCTTACGCCTACAATAATCGACTAGAAGCAATACCACTAACGCAGACTAAGAAGAGCAAGAAACACGTGCCCAGTGGCCGCTCATCCCGGAGATTAATTGGCGGCAGACTCTAGAGCGAAGTTGAGCTATTTGGCACTCCAGTTCCCAAAACCGTAGCTCTTACTACGCAATCACTTGGCCACAGTACAGCCATTGCAGGTCAGGGAGGGATTCGAGAGAGCTGACATTCCTAGCGATTTCGCCGTCAGGTTAGTGCAGCTTATACCCGAATCATCTCTAGGGGCGCATAGGGAGAGCGCAGTTGACGGAGTGTTGGAGAAGTTCATTAACGGAATTCCCGATCGGCCTGTTTCTACCGGTTACATTTAACGATCTCACTGAGCAGATAAACTTTCATACCCCACCGGTAAGTCGACGGGTGACTGAGCAGTCAGCCATGTCTCCGTTAATTGAACGTTTCCGCGTATTCTGGGCTGTATTTGCGCAGTTCATTGCGATTGATGCGTGAGTAAGAAACAGTGGTGGGGGGAGTGATAGAGCTCGGCAAATGCACTAACAGAGCAATAAAATCGTCCCCAAAATGTGTCATTAACCAACAGGTAAGTGCGACTTTCGAAAGGGCAAGATCATTCACACACTAAGTACCACGGCAACGTATTCGGCATCACTATTTAGTCAAGAGCAAATTTATTGTGGGCCCTCGCTGCGAAAGTCAAAATTTTCCAATGACGATGGTAGTTTCTAAGCATAGTACAGATTATCAACTGCGGAGTAAAACTTCGGCGAGAACGCTAGGTGGGCGGGAGTCCCGAAGAAACGTCTTACGTCGATAACTTTGGTAACCAAGAAACATGGAAGTGCCGCCTACTCCAGATACAAAAATATTTACTGGCGATTCACAGATGCTTCGGGACTCAACGATCTCTACCGTCTCGAAAAAGATCGTAGTAGTTTGACGGAAGAAACTCCTTGTATGCTGCAGGTTGCTAATTGCGTTTTGGTTCTAATTCAGCCACCAGCGCCTCAGTATGCGCCCTTACGAAACCTTCCATTCCTGAGACTTCCATTACCGCCATGGATCTTGACTCCCACTTCTGCCTATTAATTAGGGGAAACTCCGCACAAGATCGGAAATTTGACCAATGGCCTACTGCACAAACTCTTAGAGGTCATTCAACTTAAGGACGACCTAAGGTTTTTGTGAACGCTACTATACAGGTCCTGTTTTATTCACTTCGCAAATACGCATTAAATGAACCCAGAGACAAAGCTTATTTCTTCGACACTAATTTCCATCTTTTTGACCTTTTCAGGTTTTTCGACAATTTGCATTCTCGGGTGACTTGATAACACATTATGATTTCTCTGTCCTGGATGGTACATTAAACACTTTTAATCCATGCACTGGGGCCTATCACTACTGAAACTATATATGTAGCGTAAAAACTATGCGGGCAGGGCTATCTGGAACCGGGATTTCCTCGGTCACAATAACAGCGATATTGGCGCTCTCTGCTTCAGCATTAACCTTAGAACTAGTCTGGTTGGCGCCTGTCGCGAACCCCATGGATTATGACTAGTGGCGATGACTTGTGCGGTATTCGCCACATTCTCTCTTCCCTCATCGACCTTGCTTCGGTGGCAGAACAGTTTTAGGACGGCTGGAGGTGAGCGCAGACAAAATGGCTGAGGAAGCCGAACTATCCGTCTGCGCGCGTCACACACGACCCCGTCCGACTTTCGAGAGGGTGATTATGACTTCACATCGGTGGGTTCATCGCCGAGGCCGCACGGAGTCGTGAGTAAAGTGGGGTCATCCCGTTAGTTTACAACTTCCCAAGCCACGACACTTAATGTGTCGTTAATCCAAACACACCACGTACACCGCAGCGAGGGATGCACTTAGCCGTCGGACTCACTCTCTTCTCTCCACACTGCCCGAGCCTCCGTAGTAACTGGCGGTTGTACAAGGCAGACTCGAAAACAACAGTACAAGACGGACGTCCCCCAACTGCAGAAGGCACACCTCGGGGTCTCTGATACTATTGCCAAACTACTTTTCACTTCAGAAACATTCCAACGAAAGTCAGTTGGTGGATCGGCCGAGAGGTGCAAAATGAAAGAATTCTGTCGTCTTCCGAGTTGAGAAGGACTAGGACGGAGCGTCAGTGAGACGCTGAGATAAGAGGCAGACGACTTGCTGATGAGGTAGGGAAGATGCATACGCAGGCAAACAGAGTACTGCGGAATTAGATCCTGAGTGAAGCAGGCATATCGCAACCACTGTCTGGAACCTTCTGGACTTAGGTCTCCAAATTCGCGGTTGCTCGACGGAGTCCTCAGCCAGTTTGCCTGTGACGCAGGCACGAGCGCATGAAATCACCGAGGCAGCAGGACGCCAAAACCTGTTTGTCTGTCAACCAGCGCGAAACCCCGCGGGGGATTCTGGGCTGCAGCGACCATTCACCGATGCCGGTGGAGCATAACTACTGATGTGACTTTGTTCTATAGAAGACGCACCTGACAGCTGCCGCCAGTGTGCGAGATGGCTAACGCCAGACCTACCTGCCCAAGTGATTTATCGTAAAAACAATAAAGGATACTGGCAGGACGCCACCTGAGACGTTCGATGCTACTTATTTACGACGCGTATCCAACCTCTCAGTGTAAAAACAAAGCGAGCCACGCTCAATCAAAACGGACCGCACGGTCTCCCACGTGCAGGACTTTCTAACTGCTAATGACAAAGACGTGGGACCTCGCATAGCCTAACCAACTGCCCGGCGCGCAGCAGGGGCGGACACTTTGTTACCGATTAATCGGCCACTCAGGGCTTTCCTGTGTAACGCGCTCGGCTGGACAATTTAGTCAGCCTTACGACCCACCGGTTGTGACATTTCGGCCAGCTGCGGAAGGTGGTGTGGTCGTTAGACAAGCGATAGGGTTAATTTTTTAACCCACATAACGTCTCCCCTCATCGTCTATCTCGAACGCAACATAGAAGAACTAGTGATAGTAAGCTGTTTGGAAGAAATATGACAGTGGGCTCGAAGTCGATCCTTATGAACACCTCTCCTCGACCCCGAAAGAAGACGATCCTAACTACCAGAAAAAATTCGATAACTATATGAAGTGTAGCTAGGTTTGAAATCGCTTTTTCAATAATATTAATCTGAAACAATAGCTGGACAAAATGCACAGGGGTTTGCAGTCGTTTTGCCAAAAAGTGTCCAGTTGGAAATTTATCGTCTCGCGTTGATGATATTAACAAATTCTGGCTTCAGGGAAGCACCGCCAACCAAGAAACCATCAACATCCGGCTGACTTCCAAGTTCCTTTGCATTACCCGCGTTCACCGAACCTAAGTTTTCAGAAAATGGAGGAAACAAGATCTGTCAACAAGAATCAGGCGGGTGGGGGGTGCATGGTATCAAGATAATCCACTGACGATAACTTCGTCTGCATAAAATGCAAGAAAAAAAACCGTGTCGTAGCAATTATTGGTCAGAGTTTGCCAGCCTATCAACATTTTAAAAAGGCAGCAGATCATAATATATTAATTTCCCCTCCATGCTATGAACAAAGTTAATTTTCACTGAAAAAAGACTCTAGAGGGGATTTGAACGAAGACTGGGTCAGTCACTCACCGCCATACAGAATCCTGACTTTATTAGCGACACTGGAGTCAACATGGTCACGAATCCAATCACGAACGGCCTTGTGAACTTCTTGTGCCTGAGCGGGGGTGGCCGTCTTCCCGGTGCCAATAGCCCAAACAGGTTCGTACGCGATGACAACACGATCCCACTGGGCTCCACTTATATTCTCTGATAAGGGAGACAATGCACGGGGTCAAATGAAATTGGAGAGATTGGGAACGATTTCGGCTATCCCTTGTTTGACATCCCAACTTTCTTTGCAATAGAAAAACTGAGGTCGAGAAACCGCGAAAAATAATTCCGAAACCTGCCGGGAGGCAGTGTTAACAAAGATGAACCCTGGCGGTAAGATCTTACAAGTTAACAGTGAAAGAGGGTAGACATTACTTGGAAGACGGAATTTAACTATAACTGATTGGTTATTGACTGCATGAGACAAAACAGTTGGGGAAAACATCACATTAATACTTGAAACGAAGTGGGTGGGAATGAAGACGAATTGAAATGACGAGAAGCGGTCATTTAAAATATAAAAGACCTAGAAGCCAACGAACGAACATGGGAGGACGACCCTAAGCAGAAAAAGATAAAAAGGACCTTGCCAGTGCCGACGTTGAAACTGTTTACAGAAGCCAGACTTCATCTGCTTCGGAAAACCGTAGACCGAGGTATAATATGTGAACTGAGTAGAATTTAGAATGCTAAATGACAGTCAAGCCTGCGCAAATCTGCTTAATACGGGAACAGGCAGACACTAGACCTTTCTTTCCGACTCATAAGTTGCCTCTTATCTTTGTGCAAACTTGATTTTTAAACCAATAAAAGAGCCTATACCGTTTCACGCGTGCCTTCGGCCCTGAGCCAGCGTCTAAGTCTACGAAAAATAATGGGAAAAATGTCATTCCCACCGGAACGTAGATAAAAAAATTGCAGGAGAAGAATTGGTAAAAAGACTTTTAAAAGTGCGCCAATTAAATCTGGTCACAATCAGATCTAACTGCCACAACTCTACTTGAAGTCAATGAAATAGGGCGCGACTAACAATCTTAAGTGGCCGCCAATTAATACAATCTCACTCACAAAGGTAGAAACAAGAAGCAGGCGTGACGTGGAAACAAGCATCTATTTAGCTACAAAAAAGTAAAAAAGCGTACTTGCGATGGCCGCCATTTGTCTGAAACAAACTTCATTGGTCTTTCCAGCCTCCCGCTCTTCCAGAACCTCGCCAATACATGGAATCACGCTAAGACCTGCCTCCAGGGAATGCTTAACCTTTTCACCGATGAGCTTAAGTGAAAAAAACAAAACAGCTAAGAGGCAATTTGAAAGATCAACTACCAAAACAGTCCACAGCAGGCATGCATGCTAAAGTCTATGAAACGAGCTGTATGACACCCAGATGTATAGATGACAAACGAAACAAGTGTAAAAGTTAGGTTTAAAAGTACTTTCGGATTACGTTTACCATGCAAAAGTAGGTATAAGTAACAACAAACACTCTAGGCCGAAACTATGGGCGTTATCTTCACCTAAAATGTTATTAAACGTTAAGCGTGACAAGTACACAATTAATATCTGGGCGTAGCGTGGAGGCAACATTTAGGCGTTAGCGGTCCAAACCGAATAGACTGCTACTTTCTGCGTTTGTCACTTACAAGGTGAAGAAGTCAACGCGACCACCTTTGATTGATTTCCTTAGAGTTAAACTAAGTATTGTGCATTACATACATTTTAGGCTCACTAGTCGGGCTGCCACATAATTTCTTGTCTATGTTGACCTATGTTTAGTATCCCAACCAATACTTGTTAGGGTATTTGCGTTTTCAAGTGAGGAAGACTGACGGAAGTAGGAACATTGAAGAGGCGAATCGTGCCTCAAAGAACTTATAAATTAGGCAGAGACAAAGCTTATGACAAACCTCATCGGATTCGCCGAAAATATGACGACGTTCAGAATGTCCCAAGATTACCCACTGGCAACCGCAATCCTTAATCATAGCTGGGCTACAATGCAAGTGAGACAAGAAAATGAACTTTCAACAACTCTGAGGTTCAGTACGACGTTTCATTTAGAAAAACAGGTACACGACTCAAAGAAATATAGTCTACGAATCTTAGTTCTGATTTCCGACCTTAGGAAAGGCCTATGGCCAAATCGAAAACAGCCGAAATTTTCGAAATATTTCTAGTTGATCGGAAAATAGGACAAGAAGTAGTTGCAGCCAGTTTGGTAAAGGGGAACGGTTCCTTTACTTTTTGTGTCAGTCAGCTTTTAGGAAAGAATTAGTGGGCATGTCGATAGCCCGCTAGCAACATTTTCATTACGCTGAATCAACTGAAACAGTGCGATCAAGCGTTTTCTTTACAAAGTATGTTGGCACCCTCTTATTGTGAATCTAACGGTTCGGCTGAATTTGTAAATTCGATCGTATTACCATGCCTATAGGCACTGGTTTTTCACATAAATCATTAAACGGGGAATATCGGTTCAACTGACGCAATCTCCAAGATAACTGGTTAAATTATGACGAGAAGTCTCCAGCTTACAATTATCGCAGTGAGACTTAAGTAAAAATATGCTTAAATAGCGTCGCCAATTTATTTCATTCTGGAAGGAATTACTGTGCCTTGTAATCTAAATGCTGTGATTCTAAAACACCCCAAAAGGTACCGGCTTCATAAAAATATGTTTTGCTGCCTTTACGTTAGGGTGGTCAATGAAACAAACATTCTGTCGAGTACTACCGCAGGGTTTTGGGCATACCTGATCTCACCGGTAAATGCCCCGCTTGGGAGCTTGTAGCAGTTTTCAGCAGCGATGTGAAT